TTCAGGCCTTCCCACTTAGGTCTATCCTGGGCTGGATAGCTTTTCTAATGTTAATGCAGGACCTAAAGCTCTTGCCTGGTCATAACCCTTCTTTTTTCCAGGGATATTCCTCTGACCTTTTCTCTTTTGTCTCACAGCCATCTCTCTTCCTACAGTCTTTCTTCAAATCTCCCTCTTCTTGCTCTCTCTCCTCCCCTATCATGAGTGGACACACCCCCTACTGCTGATTGGCTACAAGTGTGTAGCTACAAGTGTACACTTTCAACATTATTTCTCAGAAATCTCTCAATACACCTTTAAAATTGTTAGTCATTGATAAGCTTCATCTCCAGTGGTCTTCTGTGACACTGAGTTAAACTTCCACAAATCATTTTTGATTCGTCAATGATTCAATCTTGACTTCCACCCTTGCTCTCTTTGAATAAACTAATAAAAGAAAAATAGCAATGTTCAATTTTGTTTCTTTCTCAAATAAAGCTATCGTGTGACTTTAGACTTGTAATATAGTGCACAAGTCATATGGATACACTTTATGCTACTTTTATTCTGGTTCTAATGTTTTGCAGAAGAAAGAATGTCAAGTGTGAAAGAGTATGATAAGTTAACCCTCTGGGGTCGGCGGTATCGCCGGCGATACCAGCTCACTTTTTTCTTATAAGTGCAACAGAGACTCAAAATACTCTGCTGATTTTGATCTTACATATAAGTGAGCTTACATCATTCAATCCTGTTAAGTGTCTATTTTTTGTGTATACTCACAATAAAAACAAAGTGTTGTGCTTTTTGTCAAATAAAGAAAAATAAACATGATGCGAATTTTGCGTTCTCTCTGTCAGTGAAGTCCATTCTGAAACGCGTCCGAAAATTAACTGTAACTCAGTGGATACTTGTCACAGAGACACGAAAGATTTCTCTTTATGAAGCTGAAATTCTCTTCTTTTAAATTAAGTAATTTATATAAAAAACACTATTCTCAGTTTATGTAATCTGTATGAAAAGAGAGAGATGTCAGTCTTTTTCCTTTCACCTAATTATAGCTTATTACGTGTTAATGTGACCACGCCCACGGAGAGCGCTCGCTATTCAAACGCAAATGTTGAGGCAAGCCATGCCAACGCCCACATCAGCTGGATAAAACATCCGATTTAATAAGAATCTTGTACTTTACCTCGTCTTGCTGTGCTGTGAGGAATAATACTATCGTAATAATCCTGGAAAATTTACCTCAGAAGTGCTGGTAGTTTCATTTCGAGGAGCACGGATTCAGCTGATGAAGTAAGTTATTTATTCTTGAACAGCACAGACGCGTGCGTGCGAGATGTTGTTTACTACAGCATCTGTGCCGTTCATTCACTCTCGCTCCTACATTAGTAAACGTTATTTTTACATGAACACATCCAAACTATATTGCTATAGCCTACTGAAATTTGTTCTAATCGTGATATAGAATAGTGTCTGTAATGACAACATTTTGTTGACTAGTTCTGGATAGATTATAAAGTTTTCACTCTAAAATAGACATCAAATAAGCTTTTGTTAGACAGTTTCTGCTCATATGTTAAATATATAGTATGTTTTGTCAAAAATAAACTAATCAACTGTTATAGTGTTTGTTCCAATGCAAGTTAGGCTATATCAAAATAATGAATCCTTAACTTTGAAATATGTATGATAAAATGTATTGGCCTACTTTAAAAAATAATACTTTATAAGACATTTATGGAAAAAGACAATTTTCTTTTCAAGATGTTTCCAACTCTAACTTTGAACCAATTCTATAGAATGGCCCATATAGCCTATTTGAACAGGATTTGTTTCCAGGTATGACTAAAAATGTGCTTTTGACTTTCATTTATATTTTGATTTTATATATATATATATATATATATATATATATATATATATATATATATATATATATATATATATTAGGGCCGGGACTTTAACGCGTTAATTAATTACACAAATAATTATTTTTAATCGCACTTATTTTTGCACCGCGGAACGTTTCTTACTGGATGAGTTTCGGCGGACCGATTATACTGGCGCACCAACTAGCGTTCATGACGAAGAAGCTGACGAGATCGCTTTGGTTGGCCGGTGGCTGGGAAATGTTGTTACAAAAAATGAACGGATGGACGCGTCGATAAGAGCATGGTTGTGTGCAAGCTATGCAACAAGGAATTCGCTATTGCTATTAGTGTAGTGTAGCAATATGCTATTTTGTTGCAATATGCTATTGCTACACTTAATGGCTATTATGGCTATTAGTGTAGTGCTATTAGTGTAGTGTAGCAATATGCTATTTTGTTGCAATATGCTATTGCTACACTTAATGGCAAAAATTGCACTGGTCTGCTGGACTTGGTTGAACAAAAATAAACAATATTTTGTTGCTTAAGCTTATGTATGCAGTCATTATTCAATGGTATACTAAAAATCCATGTGAAAAAAATTACTTCTCACAGTTCTCAGGTCAAATATTTATGCGATTAAAATGCGATTAATTTCGATTAATTAATTACAAAGCCTCTAATTAATTAGATTAATTTTTTTAATCGAGTCCCGGCCCTAATATATATATATATATATATGTGTGTGTGTGTGTGTGTGTGTGTGTGTGTGTGTGTGTGTGTGTGTGTGTGTGTGTGTGTGTGTGTCTGTGTGTGTGTGTTTATGTATATATGTATATATATATATTTTCCTACCATTCTTTCTTGTGTGACACACCTGAATGAAAGGCTCATTATGTGAATATTTGTCTTCTCAGGTGTGAACCACCTAATTATTCATGAGGGGGTTGGGCCGTTCACACCCATTCGCATATTGCCTTTCCAAACATTTTTTTTTTTTTTCACAATTTAAAAGAATTTGTTGTTTTATGTGAATGATTAGGCAGGATGATTTTCAGATCATTTTGAAGCAAAAACTCTAGGCGACAACATCCATTAGTCAAAAGTATTGTGGACACGTATATAGTATGTGTTTTGTGGCCTTATTTCAGAAACTTTAATTTTTAGTTTTTTCAATAACCATGCATAAACAATATTCTCTCAAAAATACAAACATGTACATACATGTTGCTCACATATTATGGTAGCCCTGTTTGTGCTAACTAGAGTGTAATTACACCTGTGCCATTAATATGTTTATAAGCAACTGAAAAAAGCATAAATGTCAGGGCATGTCAAAACATCTCAAGGACCCCAAAAACACCTCAGACCCTAGAGGGTTAACCATCGCTGTGATAATGGGGGGAAAAGCACATTCAAAGTCAGCGAAGGATAAAAACCGACAACTCTGCAGTGCCCTGTGTGATCTTTGAGCTGCCCACTCACAGAGACACCCTCATTACCACCAGCTCAATTGTAAGACTTTCTATTTAACCCTGGAGAGTGGTCAAAGCATGCTGAGTTTGAATAGTTGGTTTTGAATGGTTTGAATAGAGGTTTGTGATTGAACCCTATCCGTAATGATGATGATTCCCATCAGGACCTCCATGGCTGTCATCTCATCAACAAAAACATGCTCATTCTTCTTCAAAGTGCCCTTGCGGGAGTAATGCATGCCATGGATGGACTGAAGACAAATGGCAAATGGCAAAACAATCGTGGCATTAATTTGAACTTGGCTGTCAGCAGTTTGGGTTTACCTAATGAATGACCCATAATGTGCAAGGGGAAAAGCAAATAGTGTGTGCGTTTATGATTTCTAATAGAGGATGAGAGCGATGTGTTAATATACTGCCAAGTCAGGCTGAAAGTGACCATGAATAAAACATCCATTTAATCTAATCTTTTTACCCCGGCGCACACTCCATTAAATTGTGTTATGTCTTGAAACCAGTCACAACTCAAAATGATGCCTTTTTCCAGACAGGATGGGTCCATCCATTCCCTAAACCAGAAAATTGGAAAAGGGAACAAAAATGCTGTATTTAAAAACCGGTTTTGGAAGTTCGCAGAAGAACATTGCTGCCTATTATTGAAACTATTTGAACGCTGTTCCCTCTCAGGTGAATTACCTCATTCTGAAGGGCAAGGCAGAGTAATTTCTGAATGAGTGGGAATTGGGTTAGGTTCAGTCTGAAATTACTTTATCACCTTCCAGTTTTCTGCAGAGATGGAAATATAAAAATTCTCACTCAAATCATTGCACATACCAATAATAGATTCCGCCAATGAAAATCGCTATATCTGCCTGACCTTGGAGTGCACATATAGAGCTTTAATAGACACACACACACACACACATACTTTCAGCTGTAAACAGTCACTTTACGAAGATAAGTCGATTTTTCTCATGAATATAAAGTCTGAAAAAACTAATTCTTTTGTGAGATTGTTAGTGGAAGTTTGTTTGAGGTCATCCAGGTTGACCTCCTGTTTGACCCGAGGTTTTTCTCAGTTGACCTTTTACTATATAATTAAGTAGACTGCTCAGGACATATTGATTCAGAGACAGAGGGTGGCTGATGTATTTATTCATTCTGTTTCTGGCTTGTGCTGGGGCGTTTTGAGTGTGATCACGTTGTTGATGATCTGTATGCGCTGGAGATGAAGGTGAGTGAATAGAGTTAGTTCTATCAACTGCTGTGCCTGTGAGTGTGTTGGAATATAAATGAAAACTCACTACATCACAGGATAAAACAGCATTTGTGTTGTCAAAACAGCTGTTTTCAGCGTGACTGGATATTTTATTGAGCGATTTACATCTTCCTTCTTAAGAAAACAGCATTCAAGCATTAATTTAGCTCAATGACGGCCACATGCTGTCAACCACTATTTCCCAGGAAGTGAACATGAGAACATGTTAATGGCTTGTGTATGAATATGTCATTTGAATAAGTATTTGTTGACACTTAAACATTTGAGAAATTACATGAAATCCACCAAGAGATTTCACACTTAAAAATTTGAAATGACAAGTTAAGTTTGTGTATTTGGATAATTCATTGGTGACAGACAGAAACACCAACAATATTTTTCTCTGTCAAACAGTTCCACCGGTTGTGTCTGTGCCGCAGCAGTCCTTCAACGCCACTGCGGACTATGGAGAGTCTGTGACCTTCACCTGCCGGGCCTATGGCTCACCTGAACCGGATGTTACCTGGCACAGGTATGACTTATCAGCATCGCCATAAACTAAAATATCTACATCTAAAGCCACTTTTTGTCACTTCTGCTTTTGTTTGCTACAATAATGGTGTGTTTTTGAATTATCTGTTTAGGGGGACTTTTTGCAGTTAAATATGATTGTAAAATACAATTATTTGAATATTATTCAATTATTATTTACATTATTATTTAAGTCTTTTGAAATCATATTAAAATAATTGATTGACAGCCCTAAAACATTTCGATAACTTTATATAATTGTTTAAAGGGTTAGTTCTCCCAAAATTATGTATTCATTTACTCACCCTCATGACTTTCCAAACCCGTAAGACTAGTTCATCTTCGAAACACAAATGAAGATATTTAAATTAAATCTGAGAGCTTTCTGTCCCTCTTTTGACAGCTATGCAAATACCACTTTGACGCTTCAAACAGTTCATAAAGAGAAGCTACAGGGGTAGTCGTGGACTGTCAATGGAGAGATAGAAATCTTTCAGATTTCATTAAAAGATCTTCATTTGTGTTTCGAAGATGTACGAAACTCTTACAGGTTTGGAACGACATGAGGGTGAGTAATTGAATCTTTTTTTTCTTTTTTTTGAACTAACCCTTTAACCTTGCCTTCTGTTTTTCATTAAAAATTACTAAAATGTTGCACAAACAAAAAAACTTTTTTTTCTTCTCAGAAAACAAAAGTATTCATGAGTTAAGGTGTCACACTGAGGAAGCAGAGATTGGGGAACAGGAACGGGGGTAGCGCAGCCGAGAAAGAGCTGTGATAACAGAGAATGGACACATTTATTCCATCCATAATGTGCGGGCTTTGAGTGACAGCAGCACAATGTGTTGATTGCAGGCTCTCAATCACTGTAATTACCTACGGCTCAGATGAGAATGAACATGATGAAACCAATCCCTGCCGAGCATTCTCACACTTTGACCTTAAACGAATGAGCCTAACCAAACCACTCACATTACAAAACCACCACCAATTACATTACGCTTGCTAAAGCCTGATAGTTTCATTTAATTTTGTGTGTGCATGTGATGGTGCCAAAAAAAAGGATTGTGGAGATAGTAAAGTATATTCTGAGAAAAAGCTATAAATAAATGTATTCCAGTAGAGTTAAAGGTCTAAATAGTTTTGTGTAATTTTAAATAAAATTACACAAAATAATCATTTTAAATGAATACTTAATACTGCCTAAGGGTACGTTTACACGACAAAATATGATACTTATGCCGCGTTCCAGGCAACCTGTAACCCGTGTTTTTCCAACCTTATACCTGTGAAAGTGCACTGGAACTGCAGTCAAACCCGTGACTTCCCACCTGTGAACTCGTACTAGATCGATGTACTCCCAGTTACGAGCTCGGACGTCACATAGCCCGCGAAACCATACAAAACAACAATGGTTTGTTTACATCTAGCTACTTGTCTTTACAAAGCTTTTTGTCTTTAAAAATGATCTGTTTAATTTTATTTTACATGCTGTTTTGGTTACCGCACTATATAGAATATTTTAAAGTAATTTAAAGAGTCAAATCTTTTCAAAAGGGGTCAGTGACACATACATGTAGCCTATTTTATTATTAAATAATATTAAAATAAAACATGTAAAGAATATATATATATATATAGTCATTAAACACACTTCTGCTTAAACAAAATGTTGCATAAACAAAAACAGATTTTTATGTTAAAAGTGGTATTTGTCAACTATCCATTAACAGTTTGATACTATTTACATTGTTTGTTATATAAATTATGAACTAGAAAAGGGTCAAATGAACCAGTCACACATACATTTGTACCCTTTTTATGTTAAGGGGGTATTTATCAACTATTCATTTACAATTTGTAAATATATTTCAGACAGACAGACAGACAGATATCACAGTTACTGATAGTTACTGATATCACATACCTGCTCTATTACCATTGTGCTCTTGAGCACAGCACTTGTTTGCACCAGTGAGACTTGTGTACAATTAGTGTTACTACAATTAGTTTGTTGTAATGTCCTTTGGCTGAAAAAACATCTGCTGAGTTTCATCAGCTTTGTTGTAAGCGGCTACCTGAATTTGAGCGTCCGTCTGTTTGTGTCTCTGTTGACTCTTTGTGTATAGCCAGAGAGAGCATGATTTGATTCCCTTCTCCCCATTTCCTGTAGCCACACAGGTCTCTCTGCTTTAAATAGATTTCATTTCCGCTCATTCCTCTCCTAACATTATGACAGTCTGAAGCCGTGCTGTAATCTTCTCCCCAAAAATATTTCATTATCCTGTCTCCACCTCGGCGGCATATAGTACCTACAGTATGTATATTGAATGTAACATAACAGAATATTCTGAAATGTTGCATCTCCATCTATGATGAATAACCCATCACCTGGCGTTTCTTTGCTTTCTACATCTGCATTATGCAATATTTTTTGATTGTCTTGTCGGAGAAATTTTCATCTCGCAATATGAATAAAACCACAGTGTTTAGAATGTATGCTTCGTTCGACTGACATGTGTTGTGTTTGTGTGGTTTGTCAGGAAGGGAGTGCAGCTCCAGGAATCGGAGCGGTATGTAATGAGAGCTCGAGGTACAACGCTCACAGTTCGAAACATTCAGCAGGACGACGGGGGCTCCTACACCTGCAAGGCCTCTAACAAGGCGGGAGAAGTTGAGCATGAACTGTTTCTCAAGGTTTTTGGTGAGAACTCCTTTTTATTGAGTTATATAACTCTTCATATGTTAAATAGGATGTTACTTGTCAAAATATGGCTACATTCAGCCTGCAGGCAAATGTAACCCAAAGCTGAATTTTTTTTGCTTTTTTTTTTTTTTTCAATTCTGATATGGGCCACTTCCGTATGTGATACTAAATCCGATCCAGGTCAGATGTTTTGCAATGCGACCTCAGTCTGAACAGTCATATCGGAATTCATGCGACTTTTATGTCACTCTAGAACAACATTCGTCACAACTCTGCGCTCATGGGAGTCATTCAAAAATGTTACATACCCGAAGTTATCAAGACAGTTGTGAAAGGTAGTCAGTGGAAGGACAGTGATGTGTGAGAGCTCATAAGTATTACAGTGACAGCTCATACAAGCAAAACATGAGGGTTCGGATCATAAATGTTTAAAAACCCTGCTCCTTTTTCACACCCTCTTCTTTATTTTTATACTGCCTGCGCATAAATTTACTGGCTTCCGCGGCAGTGAGTTCACACTATAAATAAACGCATAATCACTTACTTTAATGTTCTCTGTGTTTTCTTCCGTGTGACGGCGTGAATATGCTAACTAGCCCCGCCTCCACTCACAGATTCACTTGGCCAACTTACTGAGGTAAACGCTGCACAATGGTATCGCTCTTTACTACGTCCGACACATAACGATAATTAATATGATGAGCCTTTTGCTGGACTATCAAACAGATAATAATGTGTTGCTAATGTTACACAAACTGTGTTCCATTCGCCATCTCAGTCTGCCTTCTAATCATCAGAAACGCTTTAAACAACTCAGAACGTAAGTGGAGAAAGGCAGTTAACATCGTAATATACATCATACACCCGCTAAATTGCTAAATATACCCGATTTTTCATATCAACAAAAACATATGCCAGGATAACCTGGCTTCTCTCATGACTCCCCTGCTAGTTCGCAGGAACGTTGACGTGATTGGTTACAAGGTAGTTTGTGACGTCAGAAACAACAGCAATTTCAAACCATGTTTTTGAGATTGTCTTTGGTTCACCGCAGTTTTAAGGAGAAAATACTCAGAAAGCAATGGTGTTGACTTTGCAATTTACATATGGTTTGTCTTAAAGCATATTAAAAACACCACATAGACATATAAACAACATTAAAAACTTGATTTTCACCACGGGGGACTTTAAAACAAAAATGTAAATAGCTGTACAAAAAAATAATTGAGCACTAAGGGCTCGCTGTGTAAAGGTAGCCTATAAGTGTGTTTGCTGTTCTGTCAAATTAGTGTTCAAATTTTGAAATGAGAAGAGACAGTTGTTGCTACCTAAACATATTCATATAAATCATTTGAAAATGAAGCCACAGACTAGTGTATAATGAGGAAAAAAACAGGCTTTGTCGGGATGATTACTGTGCAAGTGTTGATTTTACGTCAAGGTCAGGCAACATTTTTCACATGAGGTGCTTTTTCCCCCATCACTGTGCCTCATCACCCAGAAGTTGTTGTCATGTCACGTGTGACCAGCATGCACAACAGCATGAATAAATCATACTAATTAGAGCCTCATTGTTTAGTGTTTTACTGCATATTTTGCGCTGGTGTTTGTGTTTGTTGTTTGTAGGGGCGACAGTGGCTCAGTGGTTCATGTGGGTTGTCTACAAACCGGAAGGTTGGTGGTTCAATCCTCGGTTCCACCTGACCAAGTGTCGAGGTGTCCATGAGCAAGACACCTAACCCCAGCTGCTCCCGACGAGCTGGATGGCGCCTTGCATGGCTGCCGTCGCCCGTCGGTGAATGAATGAGTGAGTGAATGGGTGAATGTGAGGCAAATTGTAAAGCGCTTTGGTGGCCATTGGGTCTGTGAAAGCGCTATATAAATGCAGTCCATTTACCATTTTACCATTTGTTGTTCTTTGAGTATTGTGTCATGTAGTGATAATTGTAGTTGTGGGTCATTGAGTATGTTTGCATGTGCAACAAAACATCTTAGTATGAAAAATCAGCTCATTATAAAGAACCAGCTCATTATAAAAAAAACAGTGTTTACATTTTAAAATAGTTTTTTCCAGGTTTTTTTGCAGTTAAAATGTATGCATATTGAGAACTGTGAAATGGAACATTTACATGCTGAGCGAACATGGGGTGATTGTTTCAGAAGTTTGGGGTTTGTAAGATTAATTTTTTTTTTTTTTTTTTTTTAAAGAAGTCTCTTATGCTCAATAAGGCTGCATTTATTTGATTCAATATTGTACATATTGTAAAATATTCCAATTTCAAATAGCTGTTTTCTATTTTAATATATTTTCCAATGGAATTTATTCCGGTGATGGCAAAGCTGAATTTTCAGCAGACATTACTCCAGTTTTCGATATCCAGGATCTTTCAGAAATAATTCTAATATTATGATTTAAATGTTCCCTTTTTTTAACTGTTACAGTATCAACTGTAAAAATGGTTGCGCTTTTTTGTGGAAAACATGATAAATTATTTCTCAGTTTTCTTCGATGAATAGAAAGTTAAAAAGAGCATTTATTAAATTATATAATACATTCACATTTTTTGTAACATCATAAATGCCTTTACAGTCACTTTTGATCAATTTAATGCATCCTCACTTAATAAAAGTATTAATTTTGTTAGAAATTTGCTGACCGCTGCACTTTTGAATGGTAATGTCCATTAAAAATCATTTAGATATATATTATTAATATAATTTACATTTGATAAATAAATGTATATTTACATTTATATAAACATTTTATATTAATATCTCTTGCTCTTATCGCTGGCATGCCAGTAATTAATAATAATCCTAAATGCAAAATTAAGTTTATTATTAAAGTAAAAACTTAAAAACTTTAGATCTTCCTAATGGATAGTGCTACTGAGTAAACCCTGATGTTTTGAGAACAAGGTGATTGACAGGAAAATCCCTGTGATTTCCAGTCTGGCCATACAACATGCTTTTCTTCCATAAACAGACAGCCTAAATTACATAAGAATGGGTGACACATCCTTTATGGCAAGATATTTCGATTTTCATGAAGCTGGCAACATTTTCACAGATTATTCAGATAGCGCCTTGTCAGCTCATGTAAATGTATGGAGATTTATTCTGTAGTCATCAGAATCCTTTCCATGTGCAAGCAAAAGGTGTTCTTCAAAGCAACTCATTTAAATGAGCCCCCGTTATTGGATGGGAGTTTTGTTTTGCAAAGCAAGGTGGGATCCTGAGTTGTAACTTTCCTTTATGACCGCTGACAGCTGACAGAGACGAAGCTGCTAGGGTTTCCACTCAGCTAGGCACGTATCTTTCGCGTTTCCTGCGTGCTCATAAAACTTGTTATTGTTTTGAATGAATGGCATCCCAAGGTTTAAGAGCTGGATTATCTCGTCACGCCTTATCTCAGGGCGTTTTTGCCGTTTGCTGATATGTTTGTGGGTTTTTAGTTTTTTTTCCCCCGGCGGTGTTTTAGTAATCCTTCTTAAATAATGAATATTGTTCAAAGTGTGCAATGAAACTGACATTGTGTACAAATCATGGGCTGCATTTGCTATCTATTAACAAAGATGTAAACAAAAGTACTACTAATCTATTCTAAAGACAGCTTTAGAACATCTAAATGCAAACCAGTCGGTGTCATTAGGTTTATCCGATTTTTTTAGATTTCAATGTGCACCACAAGATATGTATGAGGCATGAGCAAGATTTTTTTCACCCAATACTGTTATTGTTATTATAGTTGAGTCTGTTTGAGTAGGCTATGTGGTTCTGTCAGTGTGACCTAAAACCTACTCGGTTACTATCGTAACCTCAGTTCCCTGAGAGAGGGAACGAGTATTGCGTAGCTATACGCAGTGGGGAAACTCCTTTTCCTCGATTTACTGAAACCTATATGTAAAACGCATTTGCAGCTGCACAGCCAGCACACTGAGCGTCTGGCACGCTCATAGGCTGTGCTGCCGCAACTGCACAACCAATGGCGCGGGCGACTCTGACCTGCAGCCAATGAGCTAGCTCAACGTCAGAGCCCGTCAAGGGGGTGTGGCTTAGCCTATAAAAGACCCCCGAATTCGCCATTATAGCAGGTTTAAACGACTGAAGCGACAACTTCACCAGTTACTAAATGCGGCCGGCTACGCAATACTCGTTCCCTCTCTCAGGGAACTGAGGTTACGATAGTAACCGAGTAGTTCCCTTTCGAACGGTCACTTCGTATTGCGTAGCTATACGCAGTGGGGACGCCCTGTAAAACGCCGCACCCTTAGTAACTGGTTGCACTGCAACTCAGGCCCCCTGAGCTAACAGAACAAGCCAGAACCCAATATATAAATATATATATAACAGACCAGACACTGTCAGGCCTGAATAATATATAAGAGTCAGTAACAACCAACAGAATATGCTAACAAACCCCGACACTGTCGGGATTATTAGTACAATTCATAACCGGCCTAAGCGGGTTTTATATATGTATGTATGTGATTATGCACAGTAATTTTTTGTAGACAAGACCAGACAGCATCGAGTCTTAATCATACTGAAAGAACCTTCGCCTGCAGGGAAGGCACCTCCATATTATAGAACTTCATAAATGTGGAAGGCGAGGACCAGCCGGCCGCATCACAAATATCTTGAATGGGAAACCCAGATGACCACGCCCATGACGAGGCCATGCCTCTAGTCGAATGGGCCCTGACACCTATCGGGCAAACCTGACCCACTGAAGTATAAGCCATAGAAATGGCATCCACTATCCATCTAGACAGTCTTTGCTTGGTAACTGGACCACCCTTAGATCGGCCACCAAAGCAGACAAACAGCTGTTCTGACTGTCTAAAAGACGCAGAACGCTCCAGATAGACTCTCAGCGCCCTAACAGGGCAGAGAAGATTAACCTCCCCATCCTCAGCAGAAGGGGGAAGGGCTAATAGCGTGATAACTTGCGCTCTAAACGGCGTTGAGAGCACCTTGGGTATGTAACCATGCCT